ATATTTTAAGCATGTTCATTTGGGTTGGAATAAATTCTCCCTCGAAACGGTAGCTTGAGAGCGTTCAGTAAAGGAGGCGAATAAATTGAAGTTTTACGTGAAATTTTGCTGAGACTTAACTCACTGAACGTGTTCTTTGTGTTTCCTCTATAAATGGCCATCCATAAGGAAAAAATACTCATATTACACTGTTAAAGCGCTAACAACAGATCTTACTTTGTCGCTAAAACCACTCCATGCCATTCCCCAGTTCGGTATCTCAACTGGTTCTCCTCTCCATTTTTTTAATGCAGCTTGGAGGGCAATTCCTGGTATGGCAATTAATATATCTTGAGCCCCTTATTAGAAAGTTAACAACTGCGAGACAGAGACGGGACTCTTACCTCGAGAGACACGACTTCAATTAAGGCAAGGAGTCTACGATTAACTTACCTCTAAGTGGTACACCATGGGCAACGTATACTCATATGGCTAAAAAAGTCTATAAACCGGCAGTTGAATTCCCACTTCAAACTACCAAGACCCCACTGTATGTCATATTTGCCCACCTCCACAGTCCTCACCTTACCTTTTTCTCCACCTTTTTGTCTGTCTGTCTCTTTTACATCTGTAAATCACTCTTCTCTTCCTCCTCTCCACTTTTTCTCACTTTGATGTTCCTCTCCTCTGTGAAGCCCGAAATCAACTAAAGGACTGATGACAACCATCATTAATTCTGTGATTTAATATAAATAAATTAAGGCAATGCGCACAATAATAAACGTACACGCACGCACAGACTCACACCAATGATAAGAGTACACTTCATCGGGATGAGGCGATGATGTTAGGCGGTGTTAGGGTGAGAGCGGGTGAGAGAAAACTAAGCAGCAGTCATGGTAAATGGGAGAACCGGAAGTATGCATTCGTGTAGAAGATATGGAGACCAACCCATATCAATAATCAGGATAAAACTTTCTGCCTAGAAATCTCATATTCTAGTTTTAGCATGATAAAATCATGTGCGTAAAACCCTGGATACTCCTCGATATGGTCCTTTACCAAATTTCTCCCACCCTTCCGGAAAGGCAGATAATGTTATTCTAAAAGGTTGTTTCATCTTCGATTAGGAATCCGCCATATAGACATTCTTCTGTGTGCACATTTTGTTAGCAGAAATGATATTTACAAGTCAGCCAGAGGAGGACATACTTACAGTATGACATTCTTTTGTTGGCAAACAAAAGTGTTTATTTCAGTCACCAAATGCGGACATTCTATTGGCCTCGATATCTTCACCTCCAACTTGAAAAAAACGCGAGTTGACGTGTGCATCACACAAAGAAATTAACTGGGGACAAGATATAGATATTCCAGATTGGTTTAGTGAATATGCCCCTTCCATTGTTATACTTTGGATTAGGATTCAGGTGGAATAGGAAAACTCAGGAAATCAAATGGTAGACGTGCTTATAGCACTTGACTTGATTGGAGAAAAGGTATCTTAGAACTTTCATTCTGACACAATATTAGCCAAATCGAATTAGAATGTTTGGTCGTCTGCTGCACAACTGAACTCCCACCGATGGACATTAATCTTGTAGTCTTCGAATTGTCAGAAGTGTAGATAGCATAGACAGAGTAAAGTTCTTTTCATTGCATAACCTCACTTCTGGTCCTTTCTCCACACATCCTATTTTCGTTACCAAGTAAACTAGCCCAATATTTCAAGTTATCGTAGCCTTAAAAGTTCTTTAATTTTCAATGCAACTACAAAGGCATTATCAGTGAAAATATTGTTTCAAACTTGGCACGTGAATAGAAAAAAAAGTGGCCGAGACCACGTCATCTTTGAAAGCAGCAGTTGTTGCAGACAATGTCGCTGCGTTGGAAGCAGCAGTGAGTGAGTAGGCCGTATTCAGTCGGTCTATTCAACCAATCAGAGGGTGAAAATGAGTGCGCGAATGGAATGGCTATTTTTCATTCGTGTTTGCCCGACCATTTGCCTGGGCTTACTTGGGGCTGAATGTAAAGGATTGCTTTCTGCTATAAAGTGGGATTTGTTGGGATTCTAGATGCTAGGAGGTATTTTTATTGCAAGCCTTTCCACCTATAAGCTTCTTCTTTAAAATGAATTGTCGTGTAATGTTCTACTGAAATGTCGTCATTATTTCCCACCCCCCCCCCCCCCCCCCCCCCCCCCACCTTCGCAACTCGGAAAAATCTTGAAATAGGTCTAAGAATAAGCGAAATTATTCTACAATTTTAAGAACATTTTACCTCCTCATCCATTGGACAAAAATTGAGAACAAAGCGGCAAGACCGACCCTTCTTAATTAACCATCGATCAATAGACAGTCCACCCCAATAGACAAGGTCATGTTGCAATCCATGGGGCAAGTCGTTAGATTCCAACTTTCGACAGAGAATTGCTTACTTAAAATAAGTAAAGCACTTTAGAACCGCCACTTTGTACAATTATTATTTAAGCCCCTACCCTTCGTCATTTATTGAACTTTCTGTTACCTGTTTTCGGATGCTTTTCATATTCAAAAAAATGTAATTTTAATATTGATCTAGGCAATAATAAGAGGAAGAAATTCAAAGTGTTGAAATATCGTAATATTTGTGGAAAAATTCCTGCCCTCTGGGAGATCAATTGATTTAGTCGAGTACTTAACCAGGCCGCATTTTTATATGTCTATTTCGCTTATCGATCAAGGGCGAATGGTTGAAATTAGTGAAGATATTTTGAATGTATTGCAAAACCCCACTACTAATTCAATACGGTGTGGAAGAGCCACTATTGGATTTATGATAAAATAAGCGAAATTTCACATTAGATTATTACGTTAAAGGAAGAGGAGTTGCCCTCAAAGGCCACCGAATGTGTTGTAACAAATTCATTATTTTTTTGTCAGTGATTGATTGTATTTAATTCATAATTTAATAGGTATGGGAATTGCCTTTGATTGCTTCAGTTTGAGGTTAGTTGTGGTGCTAAAATTTGGATGTTCACTGATAGAGCCTTATTCTATCCTTTGCACATGACGACTAAATTTGACCGATTTCCTTTGAAGCAGATTTGAGAGATTTAAGGAAAGAATTTGCGAAACCTAAAGGTCCCCCCCCCCCACTCTGTGAATAGGAAATTAAAAAGACTTAGTTTAACCAAACAGTTGCAATTAGGCAGAACTTGGTTAACCCACCCGATCAGAAGGATTGGATCAAAGAATGAGCTGGAGATTTTCCGGTTTCAGGTTACTGAGGGCAGAAAGCATGGAACTTTAAAGGAGCAATCAATCAATTGACTTCCCTCTGTCAACAATTTTGCCCCTATCCGAAGTTTGTAGTTGATATATGACGCTTTCTTTTCAGGTTTTCTAACTTATTTCCCCAATAGGTTGCTTTCACGAAGGTTGAGATTTCTAGCAATTTTGGCATAGTGGTGAATATGTGCCGTAAACAAATATTTGTATTAGGTGTAATAACTTAATAATTGATATTCTAAATGAAGAATTTTGCTAGTTTTTAAATTGAATAAATCTCTCAGTAGTGCATTATGTGCAATATAGGGTTTTCGAATATGCAGCAAATTATCCACAAGTAAACAACTCAACAAAGGTTAAGTAATTTTTATTAGAAGAAAACTGACCTTTCATAGAGATCCAAATGGAATTGAAAATGACATTGTGACACGCTTAAATGAAGGTATTCACATTTGTTAATAACAGATCTTGCCGCCTCAATTCAAATGCCGTCAAATCTGGCAAGGCTAAAGTAGGGAATGGTACTATTTAATCCTCCCATCGAAACAGAACGTAAATATGGTTTGCCATGCATACAAGCATCTTATTCTATGCCTCCTAAGAAGGTTATGAAAACCCAGAAAAATGTAACTTTGGTTTTGAAGATAAGTAGGACTAGTTTAGGCTACTGCAAAAGCCGGAATAAGGTAGCTAATTTGCATACAAAAAATAGTTAGGCCCTTGCACTCGATAACTCCCTCCTAGTAGATTGGGCATTCTTAAAATAGAGCATGACACATTATTTCTGGCACGGGGTGTGCGATAGACTTACCTCCACGTGGTACACCCTGGGCAACATATACTCATACGGCAAAAAAGTCTATAAACCGGTAGTTGACTTCTGACTTCAAACTACTATCACCCCACTGTATGTCATATTCGACATCTTCCACAGTACTTATCTCACCTTTTTTCTACCCTTTCTAACTTCGTCTTCGAAACTTCTGTTCTTCCCCCTCCTCTCTCGACTTTTTTTCACTTTGATGTTCCTCCCTTTCTGTGAAGCCTGAAGTCAACTAAATGGCTAATGATAGCCATCAAAATGCCTGCCATTTGATATAAATAAATTATTTCTGGCACACACAGCACCCAAACACTGACAGAAACACCATTAACTCTGAACTGCTAAATCATTCTTCGTTGAATTAAATTTTAAACCTAATTATGAGCTCTTTTCAATCAACGTTAAAAGCACCGAGAAAAATCGATTTCAATTTCTCCATAGTAAAAAAATCAATATAACGTCAAGCCGCCTACCTAAGAAAATCCCAGATAATACTACATATTTCACTTCAGTTCATTCGGAATTATTGATTTTTAAATCTCACCAACTGAAGAAAGATCGATATTTCCTCATGATCAGGAAAAATACGCCGAAGTTACAATGGAAGGCGAGTTATAGAAGAGGCGAAATAACTTTCTAGTCAATTTCACTTCCAAAGTTTGAAGTAGCAGATTGAAATGATAACACAATAGTGACTGTAGATCGAAAAGCAAGTATTACCATAAGTCGATTTTATTGAATATATAAAGCATATTCGGAAAAATTAAACATCGTTAGAAGAATGACTGGGAGATAGAAATGCAGTATTCATTTATAGGGAGGAGATGATGCGAAGCAGTGAGATAGACAAAACAATGACCACGACACAATTTACACAGGAGAAGTTAGAGGAAAAGTACAAATGCGGTCTCCAGGATTTTCCTTACATTTTAGAAGAGACCTTTACGTTTCTTCTCCGTTTTGCTTCGTTCCTTAATGACTTCTGAAAGGACACGTTCACCAAGACCCCCCATTGGAACACCGGAATCTGTGGAAGCACCACCAACAATATCCCATTCGCGCCAGGCTTCCTCCCATTGAGAACGTCGTTCTTCAAAGGCTCTGCGTTCAACCTCTAATGCAGTTTCGTCCTGACGCAGTTGGTCACGCATCTGTTCGGCTCTGCAGACCAAATCGGCTTCGAATTCACGTTGTTTGGCGCTCTTTTCGGCTACCTATTTTAGAAAAGGAAGGACAGCGACTATTAATCATGAAGTGGAAAAGTACTGCCACTAACCAAAAACAATATATAAGCGATTTCTCACTCCATCAAAAAAAACAAAGTAAGAAGACACAGGACAATATAGAGCTTAGTCTCGATAGTTCCGGACACCTTTCCACAAACTAGGAAGCTGGCAAATAAATAAGGTTAGCAAGAATTTTAAAAAAATTGAAAATGTGCATATTCCGTATGAATTTACAAAGATAACTGGAAGGGTTTAAAGAAGTGGATCTGAAGACAGTTCAAGAACAATTTATTTCATTAATCAATTTTAAATAAGAAAGTCAAATGCCAAAATGTGGTTAAGAAGAGAGGGAGAAAGAGAGTAACTTCGTCTCTCAACCAAAGTGTCGAAAGTGATGCAAAAAAAACGAGGAACTAGCACTAAGCATTATAGCAATGCACCATTTGCACAATGAATGTGCTATAAACATGAAGCACAGGCGAGTACATACAATATGGAAATAGAGGAACTGGACAAAGGTCCTTGAACTTAACAGCAGAATTTTGCACATTCATAACCAATCGGTTAAAAAGCACACCTGGGACCACTCAGAATGGATTAACCAACTAATACCTTACATTAGAATTAATTTAATAGGGCACTTTTAATCAGACAGTTGCCAGGTTATTTGTGAGGTACTTCTCATCAATACATCAGGTAATTGCAAAAACTGATAACATTTCCAGCAAACAAGTGGAATGTCATTATCTCAAGATATCTGAAAATTAGAATAATGGGGGCTGTGAAACTGACTTTCTGAGAAAAGACAGCTTCCATATCGGCCTCCATCTTGCGAAGTTTTGCTTCATGTTCACGCTTCTCTGCGTCCATGAGCATCATTGGGTCCTGACCATCGTGCGTCTTGAAATTGCTGCCCTCTGCAATGCCAGAGAGCTTGGCCGCTCGGTAGTTCTCATAGTGGCGACGATGGGTCACTTCACGGAGATTCTGGGAAAAAAAACAACTGACACTTAGCAATGCGGATAGTTAATGAAAAAAAGGAGACAAAAAACACAAACATTGAAAACTAATGTGTGAACTACACAGAAAACTGAATGTATTTTCAGAAGCAATTCACGATGTCCACGGCATCAATGAAATTTTTCATGGGAAGGAATTGAATTGAACTGTAATGGAATTAGACAAAATGTGATACCTTGAGAAAAATATCGATAATAAGACAAAATAAGATGAAGAGAACGTTAAGCATTCGTTTGTAAAAAAAAGCATGTACCTGTGTAATACCAACTAACGTGACAAGTCGGAAAGACTTAAATAAAAGTCGCTTATATATGAAGTGAAGGACACATCATGTGAAATGTCAATTCAAATCCAGTTGATTAACAGACAGCTACAGCAATAATGCTGAAAATACTGTAGAAAAGGCCAGTATTCATTTTAAGGACAACACACTTCTTTTCACATTGCCTTTGAGAATTTAAATGAAATCGTACTGGTATTAACGCACGGAAGAGAGGCGAACTAATAAATAAACAAGGTGACAAAAAACAAGGGATTAGTGGGGAGGGGGGGGGTTAAAATTAGAAGAAAAACTGCTAAAACAATACCCGCATCAGCCTCAAAATCTATGAGACGGAAGCAAAAATATCGAATGCGCAGAAGCATTGATTGATTTTGTTCAAGCATTCAATATAATTTGGATGAAGCTGCTTTGGAAAGCTCAAAAGTAGGACAAAATCATATAAGCATCACTGGAACTATTACCATCTTGGTTTATCAAGACACTACAATTACTTTGGTCACTTTTTTAAATTCACAATGATTCAAGAAGATGATACAATGGCATATCTCCCTCGCATTCAAAAATAATACTATAGTGAAAACTGCCTGCGTTTCTAGGAATAAGCACTAGCAAATTAGATCACCAACGAGAGAAAACTTTTCAACTCAACAATGTTCACACTAAATACTTGAGGATACTTTATCACTTTTGCCTGCTTCTACAATTAGTATGTGATAGACAGAAAGATATTTAAAACTAACAAAAAAACTATTTCTTCAATAAAAAAAGTCATGATAAACGGTGTGGATAGTAGAGAAACCAGCCCTATTTGAAGAGTATGTCAAAACCATTCAAAGTAAAATGCCAAAATAGATTCAACACAATAAAGACAATAACCGACTGGCATAGAGGAGATTGGGCATAACATTTCCGCCTAAGAATCTATGGATTTCACATTCAGCTAGCTTCCTAGAAAGTGGCACTAAGGTTAAAAAAGCATATAAATAAAAACTGCCAAGACTTGATAGTCGCTCGCCTTGTCACATGTTTCTAGGGAAGTGGTGGGAAATGCATTAACCGTCTGTGAACTCAGTTTTGATTTACAGTTTCTATAATTAGTCATTACTGACCAATTAACAATTCTCAAAAAGTGCAAGCAAAGTATTAAATTGGGATTTTAATTGTGGAGTCAAGGTGATTAATAAGACATTCATATCAATGAAACCCAATAACCCCAAATCTACAAATGAATTCACAAGAACGGGAAAGGTAGTGTGTTAATAGCACGGAGATCATCAAACCGATACGAAGAAAATGCACACCGAATATTAACAAATGATTTAATTTAAAGTAAAGATATATAAATTTGGGAAATAATTAAGTAGATAATAGTATACCACACTAAATTATTTGCAATAATCCGTGAAATGATTTTTTGCGTTCAGTATGAACAGCAAATACATAGGATTGCTTTGATTTCTTATAATCCGATATAAATAAAAAAAAAACAGAAAAAAACATGCAAACCACCACTAATAAGCCTCTCAAAGAAGTTTAACATAAGAGGGAAATGTAAATTAAAAAAATGGCACTATCATATAGTAAAGCCCCATTGAATTAATAAAAGCAATCAAAAGGATTCATTAATAAGACAAAAATTTAACACGAACCTGCATTTGCTCCTTAATCAAATAATACGAGAGAACGGCAAAGTCGTTGTGTTCAACGTTGTTTACTTCAACAGTTCCCCAAGGATAGGTTCGAGCCCTAACCTTATTTCCAGCACCGTTTGTAACATAAGAATTCGCACCGACAACTGCAAAAGGAATACGGTCTCTAAGAGATCTCATCTTGAGGTATTCAGGGTCCGATTTAGTCTCACCTACAAAACGGGACCAATTAATAATCTAATAATTGATTTGTGCGAAAGCAATAGAAGAAAAGAACAACATACGGTTGGCCTTATCTTCTTCAACGAAATCATAAATCTTGATTTGACGTTTTAGTAGATCAGCCAAAATATTCTTCTTAAACTCTTTGCACTCCTCTGGGGTCATACAATCAGACCTTCCAATTATTGGAATGATATTCACTTTGCCTTGAATACGCTTCAGACATTCAAAATCAAGAGTCTTTAGTCTGTGGCCAGTAGGAGCGAGGAAGTACAGGCAGGCGTGAACACGGCTATCGATTACCTTTCTTGAATCCCTACTAACTCGACCTTCTGCAGTCATGTAATCGTCAAATTTAGCATCGATATAGTCGACAATGGGCTTCCAGCATTCTGAATTGTCAACGCTTTCACCGAAACCGGGGGTATCAATGACGGATAGGCGGAGAAAAACACCATCCTCTTCAAGTTTAACAGTTGTAGAGCGAACTTCCACCTTATCTTTAGCTACCACCGAAGGTCCAGGATAATTAGCTCCGTAAATATCGGTTAAAAAAAGAGTGTTCACGAAAGTAGATTTTCCAAGACCAGGCTCGCCAATAATCATCAGATTAAAATCAAAACCTTGACGGACAGCACGTCGGAAAGCTTGATCAGGAAGGTTTGAATAACCAACGTAGGAATCCGGGATATTAACCGCAGTTCCATTTTTTGTAGCATTGGGAATATTCTCCTGATCATATTTGGAATTCTTTTCACTCAAGAAATTTTTAACCGACATCTTTGGTTCGTCAAGAGATGTGACTTTCTCAGTTCCAAAAAATGTTCCACGTCTTCCTGCAGCAGTTGCCATTTCTAAAAAGGATTTTTGATAGACAAAGAAAAAGCACCGAAGATGCTATATACAGTCCTTGACTAATCAAATCAGAATTGTCCGCTGTATAATGCGCGAAAGGAGTGACCTAGAAGTAATCCTTATAGCAAAAGTAATCTGATTAAGAAATATTATCTAAATCAGAAATATATTTTTGATGCTCCGTTTAAATCTTAAAAATAAATAGTAAAAGTAGTTCAAATTCAGAAAATGGAAGCAAATTCTCATAACCCCGCGCATAACAAACCAGTGTGCATTTTTGTTGAGTTTTGAAATGCCTGTTTCCATTTCGGTTGTACATTCTTTACCCGCAAATATTGATGCCGATGGAGCCACACTAGAAATCCCGAAGGACTTTGCAAGAGCTTGGTATGCTTCTTATGATGCAAATGCGTTTCTTCATGTGGTACCATATTGATACATGTGTGCGTTAAGCTTTTGACTTTCTTTTAAACATTATACTTATCATGTAATTCTAAATACTTATGACAGTGAATCTGGATGGACTGGAGAATCTACTTCGACGGCGCATTTGCGGGGCAGAAAACTATTTGGGAAGAAGTTTGAAATGCCTCCGGGTTCAGAGGCCATAGTCGTGCAAAATGAAGATATGCTTAGCCTAGAAGAAAGCGCTAGCAATGTTAGGGTTGTCGGCGCTCCTGTTGAAAAATTAATTATCTGGAATACAGATGCTCCCAGTGATGTCTCTGAGAAAATTCATTCCGCCCTTCTGTGGTCCAAATTAAGCTCCGCTCTCTGAGTGAATCCATATTTGCATGTTTTAAGATGCTATTTTTGTATTAAATTTTATCCTTCTTTTGGCAAAAACAATGTCCATGTGTTCTGGTTGTTTCTCATTTTCCACTTTTTTCGATTTTGACGTGATTGTTTTGAATATCTTATTCATTACTCAATTACCATGTGTTCGTACGGATCTAAGCTGGGCCCGTTTTAGCGACACCAAGTAATCCGAGTTTATGCCTCTGGAAGTAGGATTTTGCAGTTTTTTTACACTTGTATAGAAAAACCCTTTAGCAATCTATAGAAATGAGCGGACAAGAGTTTGAATTGTTTATTTAAGCTTATAACTACATATTTTAACGCATAGACATAAAAATCAGACCGCAGGTAGGGACTGAAGTAAATCGGTGCCCAGTCTTGAGTTTTTCTTTTCTTCACCTATAATTAAAGCCATTATAAAATTAAAACCAATATTCTTAAAAGAGTGTATGATCAAAATTGTCATTATAGAAATAAATTTCTGTATTAAGTAATAAATGACAAAATTTATCCAAAGTCGCAGGATTACTCCTTGTTAATCTAACCTAAGTACCTTAAGCGATCTAACGTTTCTATAGTAATATGGGTCACTTATCATTTGAGCGGAATGAGACGCAGTGAGTTAAGGTATTGATAGGCTATTTTCATAAATAATTAATTAGAGGTCCCAAATCTATAGAGGGTGACAAAATAGAAAATGAGACCCAACATCTAGCGTCTATGCTAGAAAGATTCAAAGCCTCGGCTGTTCATCATAAAGAAATTCGGTAGTATTAAAAATTAGAGTTACTTCTTTATTTCAGTAAAAATATCAATTGGGAATCGAGTAAAACACCGATAAGGAAAGCTAAAATAACCAACAAAAGCATTCCTGATGTAAACCGAATATTGCTTTAATTTTCTGTTAGATTAAAAGCATTAACAAAATAAAATTCCTCCCAATGCGACCAGGTGGTATTTCAATTTTAAGTTATAGTTTTAGGGACACAAACCACATCTGCAACTAAGGCGAGCAATAGTAAAATAATTTCCAAAATTTGCGGACAATGCGAAAAGATCCCTTCTTCAAAGGTATTGGTTCCAATTTTTTAAATAAATCAGTTCTGTCAAGAATGTGGTGAGAATTACTGCACTCATTGTTTTTCCATTTTTCACTCCAAAGGTGCTCTGATAAAGCACCATCCTATATCAATTAGCGTAAGCCTAACTTCACCGATTATTATTAATAATTAGGAACTAAATTTGAGTAAAGACACAGTAACCACTGGTTCTTCCGTTTCCACTGGCTTAACTACTCCGGCCTCTAAGACCAAGAGCTCAGTAACTTTTCATCAAAACTAATTTTGCTTCTAATCCTTATTCACTGACTATCAAACATTGTACATCCAGGTATCAGTTGGAACTTATTCAAGCATTGAAAGAAAATCTACTCTATCCCAAAATTATGGTCGACACAATGGAATTACATCAGTCTCAAGTTCTGTTGGAACAGATCCTTTGTGTCCTAAAAAAGATAAAGTTAAATCACCCAATATTTGTTTTTCTCCTCATTTATCTTATGCTGAAAAAATACTTTTGGATAAATATGGACGAAATGAAATATTGTCAAATCAACGAACCCACAAGGGAGCAGGTTGTGTTTCAACTATTACTCGAGAAGGTAAAGAATTGAAATATTGATAATTTATCAATTAAGAAAGCAAGGAGGACGACGAAACTCTAGAGGAACCAGATATAGATATGCTTCATAGGCTTTCGAAAATTTCATCTGCAGAAATTCGTTCCAATTGTAACTACGACCTTTCCTCAACGTATATGAAAACCGACTGTACTTCTAATCATTCGTAAACTAATCCCTTATTCATTTTGCGGCCATTATTATTATTATTAGCAGCGTGCTGATTATCTATATTTTAGAAGACATGGAGGGAAATTATGGTGGATCCCCCTAAATGGTAGAGATTTCCTTCGTTGAAATTCGTATCTTCATCCTGATATTAAGTTTAATTAATTTTTAAATCTTTCAAGGAAATGGGAAACGTAATACTGAAGGTAGTGGTGGAGGACTAGATGCTCAGAAGACACTGGCTGTTTTACAGGAACTAATTGAATCAGAAGAAAAAATGTAGATCATAACTTATGAATGGCTTTGCAAGTTTGTGATATAAATAAACGCCAATGCTCCAGACCTTCTGTTATCTGGAATAAAGATGAAACTTGGCCTAATTAATTCAAAATTTTCAAATCTAAATCTGCGATAATTTATAAATAATTTACTTTAGATAATATATCCACCAATGGATAGAGATATGACTCGTCAATGGATGACTGGACGCGGTAATGGTAAGCTAATGACTCAAGATATTTAGGAAATTAGGGAAGGAAAAGTTAGTATAGTGACAACCTTTTTTATAGTAGTGTAACGTTGCACTTCGCAAGATCCCTTATTAATAGGCTAATCATCAGAAAGATAAATCTCCGTCCATTTCATATTACTTATATAAAAATTTGTTTATCAAACTTTTATGATAAAACAAAAATTTGACTTATGATTATTTGCGATAAGGAGAACTCATTTAACATCACTAAAGACATCATCGAGTGTTTAATCCGTGGTTTCCAAAGTTTAGGAAAATAAAATAATATTATGTTAGTGATATAGAGAGAATGCAGAAAGAAAAAAAAGCAATATGAAGGTTTTACTTATATCTGGTGTATATTTCTTAATACCAATAAAACTGCTAATAATTAATCTTGGCTGTGAGGTATTGATAATATTTGAATTGGTCTTATAAGTAAACAAATTATGTGTGATCCAAATTTAGAATATATAATGTTGAAAATACGCTCAAAAGTACTAAACTATTGTTGGATGTGTCATAAATATTGTGTAAATCGTAGCATAATATACGAATTGAAATGTAAAGTATTGAGTGTTGGAATCATTGATAAACCATATTGAAAAAAATATTTGTCAAAAAATCAATTTAAAATACCCATTAAAAAAATCACGTGATAAAAAAATTTTAAAAGATTTTCTTGTGTTGCATTTCATTTAAATTCCTTTTTTTAAAATGCCAAATTCAATTTATTGAACTGCATTGTTTTAATGGCTTGCGAGGGCGATTTGACTTGCCTGTGTTAAATGAAAAATTAGGTAATTTCATGAAATTTGTTATAATTATTCTATTCTGGAGAAATTTCCGCATTTTTCGGATTGGTTTCATTTTCTAGTAGTCATATAAATGCAATTCATTTGTTGTCAATCTTTTTGTTGATTCTCATATTTTAGTTGTCGCCCTTGTCATTTAACTTAATTCTTTAAAACATTTATAATTTTAAAGCTCTTATAATAAATCTTTCGTTCGCCAATGAAATCATTTGAAGTTTTACAAATCATAAGTACTTTTGATTGATTTTAACATTAAGTTTCGGCCTGTATAGGCTTTTGGTTTTATTTCATCAATGCCATTTTTGAAAAATTCAATTTGATTTTTCATCATTACTTATTGATCAATTCTTTTTTGGCAAAGTAAATTTGAATGTTTAACAATGTGTTTCTATCTAATTTTAGATCTATTTTTGGAATTAAGTAAAAAAGTTGAGCTGGAATGAGTTTTACTTCGGATGAGGTTAACTTCCTCATATATAGGTATCTGCAGGAAGCAGGTTACTGTCATTCGGCCTATCTCTTTGGATTAGAAAGTGAGATTAGTCAATCGAATGTGGATGGTTCCTTAGTTCCTCCTGGATCTCTTCTCTCTCTCATTCAAAAGGGTCTCCAATACACCGAAGCTGAAATTAGTATTGGTGAAGATGGCAGTGAACGAGTGGTGGAATCCCTCTCTCTTATCGATGCCGTTGTTCCCGACGTAATCGAAAAGCGGAAAAATTCATTACGCCAACAGCAGCATCAGTCTCATCATTCTTCTTCCACATCAAATACTGCCAACACTGGCAACCAATCACAGCAATACAACTGTGCTTCTAATTCCATACCTCCTAATAACGGCGGTGAAGGAGGTGGTGGCGGTGCCAGCAGCTTCAATTCTCATCTACCTCCTTCAACTTCTTCAACCTCTAATAATGATCCTGTAAATACCCCCACACCAATGGATAGCGAAAATACCGCATCTAACAGCAGTAGTATTCTCCTTTCCAACAACCTCTCTACTGGAGCCTCCATTGCTTCTCAATCCCAACATCCTCGCTCCTCATCACAAAATGCTGTTTCACCACCCTCTGATAGTCCCCTAAATGCTGCTGCTGGGCATCTCCGCTGGTCAAATAAAAACTTTGGCACTGCACAAGATACCCTCCCGCCCAATCACCCGGTCTCTAATTCAGTAATCCTTCCCCAAATGCACACAAATGGAGATAATGGTCATGGTAAACCTCCCACTATCTCTTAAAATACCCACTCTCTTGGTCCTTGTCTAATGCTCCTTTTTGTGTTTCAGCTAATCATTATCGTGGTAACGCAGGTGAAATGGATATAGACAAGATTCCTCTTCAGACACCAGGCGCAAATCCTCTCCCCAACTCAACATCAGTGCATTCCCCTGATCCAGGCATTATTCCTGAGGATCGAATCACTGTTTTACGAGGTCACACTTCGGAAGTCTTTATCTGTGCCTGGAATCCTCGTACTGATATGCTCGCTTCAGGGTTAGTTTTTTGGTTGAATTAGCACACGATTCGTCTTTAAATTCGCTACACTGCACTTACAGTCTGCCAAATAAGCAGACTAATAGATTTTAAAACTCTGTCATGTGTTCCCTATAAATTATTTCCACGTCATATAAATGCGGTGATTTTAGTGCCATCTTTTATCTCGCTTGATTTTTTCTATCATTTAATTCTTTGTGTGATACTTGCTCTACGTCATCGCACATCTCAGAGGTCACGCGTTCACCCCTTAATTTATGTTTATGTTTATACCCAAGAAATGAGGTTTAACTTATTTCACCCCCCCCCCCCTCTCCTTTTCCTCTTTAGTTCCGGTGATTCTACTGCACGAATTTGGAACTTGGAGAGCAATTCTCCAGCTAACTTCCGCTCATCTCCTATCATCCTAAAGCACTGTATTAGTCGGGATGGCCAATCTGTTCTTTCTGCAAAAGATGTTACGTCTTTAGATTGGAATGTAAGTCCCTAATCACCTTCCTGTTATGTTCTTTTTTCCTCGCTAAATAAGTTTATAAATTCAAATTTTTTTCTCTTTAGTCCGACGGGAGTTATTTGGCAACGGGTTCTTATGATGGCTACGCCCGAGTCTGGGATACAGACGGTAATTTCCCCTCTGATTGAGTTTAAATAAATTCACCTCCTGTTTCGTGATCATTTAATTCATGAGCGGTTGTGTGGTTCTTTATCTGCTAAAATATGATCAGCTGTTACACAGTTAATATAGCAATATGAGTGCTTTATTCTTGCTGGCCAGTCAGCGCGTTTAGTTGTTTGCGCCTTCCCCTCCCATCCCTTCTTTAGTGCGTTCTTGTGCGCGCTTTCTAGATCGTTGACCAATCAACGTCTAGAAGCTGGCTTTCGCCCTCCTCACCTACCCTTCAATCGATGTCTCTTCTCCCTTTTCCTTTTTTATTCTGTTGCCGTAGTTAATGAGCTAAATAACTCGCTCGCCCTCGACTAAACAATCTATTTTTGATCGATTGGTTGAGTACTCTCCACTCTGCTTTTTAGGAAATCTCCAAAAGACTTTGGGCCAACACAAGGGCCCCATTTTCGCGTTAAAGTGGAATCGAAAAGGCAACTACATTCTCACCGCGGGAGTTGATAAGGTATGTTCCTTACATTATTATAGTAGTACTTAAACTCCTCCCACCCACAAACCTTGAAGAGCCTTGAATATCCGTTGAGAATTTTAAAACTGTTTCGTTTTGATTTTAGACTACCATTATATGGGAGGCACAAACAGGCCAGATTGTCCAACAGTTCGCCTTCCATCAGGGTAACAAATCAATTTCTGGAAAATTTCTTTTCTTGAGTCAATTTATAAATCTAGTGTTTTCTTTCTTCTTCTTCAGCTCCTACTTTGGACGTAGATTGGAAATCTGCGGATACATTTGCATCCTGTTCTACAGACACGTATATCTACGTTTGCAAACTGAAAGTTGATACTCCTTTAAAGACTTTTAAGGGACATGGTGTAAGTCTATACTCTGTTTGCTATTTGTCATTTGGCATAGCTTAAAGCCTTTGTGTGTGATAAGTTGACCTTATATCCTTTAGAATGGTACTAGTAAAATTTCATTCACAACTTATTTGCTGCTTAGTATGTGACTGTGGTAGTATTGCGAGTGTTAACACAATGGGCGTTACCATTTTTCTTTCCGCCATCCAGTTTGCATTTTTCTGACCGTAATTTTCCACCAATGATTAATGGGGCTTGCCTTCTTTTCCACCCCATTTACTAAAACCACTGTACTAACCGAATTAACAGGCATGGCGGTTTTTCTTTTTCCCAAATACTTTATGCCCGATTTGGTTGACCTTAAATTACTCCCGACAAAACAATGGCTCATGGGAACTTGGGTAGTAAAAGTAAGTGTCATAAGAAAACAAACTCATTATGTTCCTTTTTTCTTTATTTAAATTTTTATCACAGATGGTGGGATTTTATCCTTACCGATGAGCCAATTGCAGTTGAGAAAAGCAGGGTTTGATGTCACCATGCACTTTCATGTCAAGAACTGGCTCATTTAATTAATGTATGATTGCTATCGAAGCATCATTCTTATCTTTTTCATACAATCTGGAGATTTAAAAAAAAAAGAAATTTTGAGTTTCATGATCTACATGTGGGGACTACTTTAGTGGGTTTCATAGATAGCAGATTCTTGTTTTCATTCCACTTTAAAGCTGGTGCTGTGGTGAGTGCAAGCAGTTTTGAACGAACGACGGAAATTTCTACTATCGCACACAGTCCTATATGCATTTATTAAAGTAACTTAAGAACGATTGTATGTACAGACCTACTTCATATTCTTAATCCCGGATAAATTGTGCTTATATTGGTCAAGTTGGTGTATGTATGATACGAAATAGTTGTGTCAATGGATTTTAATAAATGGGTTTTGATCGGCGATGCTTTGCATTGCGATCAAAATGATAGTACCTGTCGTCCTATTCACCTACCTCTTTCGGGTCCACTGTCTTTCAACGCTGACTGAATATTCTTCTTAAGATTAGTTGGAAGGTGGAAAATGCGTACTTTAACTCTCTTTCCGTTGACGGTAAACGTTTTTATCTTTCATATAATCATCTTGGCTTGAGAATTAGCGTCTTAGCATCCTGTTGAAAGGAAATTCGATTTCTTCAACTCCTCTCCTTATTATTGTTAATCAGTTCGACTGTCTGTGCGCTGGATACATGCTATTCACCTTTCGTGCACTTTTCTGAATCACATGCTGTAAATTTTAACGGCCTGGATTCTTTCCAAAACCGGTTTATAAAATGTCCTGGCGCGACTAAGCCCCAAATGTTCTGCAAAGTGCGTGGGATTTCGAGATAGTCACGAAGGTTATGCACAATTCCTTGTGTACCACAACCGTGTAAACGGCTAATCCACTACGTAATATGTTTTGCTCACTGTCTTCTTAAAGTCACTCGCCGACTCTTCAGTGTTTGTTGAGTTTTTTACCGGATTGTAAACTCTCTAATTGGCAATATATAATTTTAAAAGTCTCCGGAGTTGTGTTCCACAGCATGTACCGTAAAATATTCCACCACCTTTGCGCTTACTGAGTGTGCAATCACGTCAGGCATCACCTGCATGTTATCATGATAAACGTGCAAGCAGCTAACTGAAGGGGCTATGCGGGGTTGTTTAGCTCTCCCTCTTCCTCTCTGCGCACTTTTCTGCGCGCGCGCATTGGTCGATAGGTCCATGTCGAGCTATTAATAGCGACCGCAAGCTGCTGGCTGACTAGCGCCATGGGTTGTGGAGTGTGTGCTGTACTTGCTGGCGGACTGAACGTGCAGTAGAGTAGCGCGACAGCTGCGAATGCAACATGAAAAAAAAGACGACACGAATTTCCTACTATGCAGCCATGTGGAATGTGTTTTTAGATCTGCGTGCCACGGTATGCGCGCGCATCCGTGTATCCCACGCTTGGCCTTGGTTGCCAATACCATCGTGCCGCCGCCCTACGGGCTGGAAGGGATGACGTATCGTAGTGATTGTACTCTTTAGGGATACTAGAAATTTTTGCTATGGAGTGTACAAAGTGGCCCGAAATGATTTTAATAATGGACGCGATCTTGTATGAAAGTTCAGGTAGAATAGGTTGCCCTTAATAGGCACGTTGAAATTTGTTAGCCGTGCTCCGAGTTTATTACATTCAGGTAAGTCGAATTAGTCGAAATCTAAAAACCTACATGAAGATCGATATGGCAATCGCTAGGAATTGGTTTTCTATCTCAACCATGAAATTTCGAAGATTCCTCCATCTCTTGTAGGAGGGTTGAAAGTTGTTTAAGTCCTGGTTAGCTCATTTCCTTAGAAAGGCTAGTAACTAAATTGGATTATTAATGGGAGGAGTTTTGCCATGTTTTCTCCTTTCGGTATTTTTAATTTATCGATTGTCGTCATAACCTCCTAAATAATTTATACCTGTTGTTAAATTGAACTTAATAGTACATCTGTTTATCAAATCAACGATATCAATTTTATTCACTTTTAAACCCTTATTCGATGTGTGTGAAATATGTCACAACTGGCGTTCTAATTTTCCTCCCTCCTCTTTTCGCCTTCAGAACGAAGTGAATGCAATAAAATGGGACCCCAATGGTGAACTCCTAGCCTCCTGTTCCGACGATCGGACCCTCAAGGTGTGGGACATGAACAGTGACGAGTGCATTCATGACCTGCAGGGCCATGCCAAAGAGATTTACACAATTAAATGGAGTCCCACCGGCCCCGGCACCGCCTATCCTAATGCCCAACTTTGGCTTGCTAGGTTTGTTCTCTCCTATAATGTGTATGCTAGCTCTAGCGGCAGCTGGCCGCGTGATGTCCTAATGTGTGTGTGTGTGTGTGTGTGTGTGACGCAGGTAGCAAATGTGCGATGATGCGAACGATGACCCAGTTTCCTGTAGTTTAAAGTCCTGTGTGTGTGCGTGGCACGCGAAATGAGTAATCCCCTTGGCTTTGTATAGCCTAGACTTGGAGAGAGAGAAATTCAGGTTTAAGGGTATTTAGTGGAATTAAACCAAAGAAGAAAACAACCAGATATTTGGTTTTGCCTCCTTAATATCCTTCTGCCTTCGACAATCTTGAATCTTGTGTCATGAACTTGGTTGAGTGCTCTCAATTATTTTAAGGCGACTAGTTTGTACTTTAGTAAATAAGATATTTTTCCTTCGCTCATAGTCAGAGAACACTGGTTACTATTGCTAGCCTAGTTTCGATATCAGAATGCGGCATTCTCATAAATCATGCTTTTGAAACCCAAAGTGGGTATTACAAGTTTTGCATCAGTGGTTCGCCTGGTACGCCATTGCGTCTGTTGCTCATTAGATGATGGAGTTGGCCAATCATACTAGTTAACTTTAATGAAAATGGAATGGGAGTTTCTCATTTAAGTCTTAACCGTGCAGTCGTCTTTCAAAATAAGCTCCTTCGGTACCAGACTCGTAGCAGAAGGCACTATTGTCGTTTGAACCATATTCAATACGCCTATAGCCTTCGTCTGATGCACCACCAAAACTCATCACGTCGGCGACATCGGTCTGCTGTGAGTGGGGTTGGATGCATTTTTCGCTAAACCAATTCGGCGTTTCTTTTAATGGTTTATGGGATTTGGAATATCTTTCTACCTTTTATGTTTTCTACTTCACTTTTTTTTCTAGAGGCTGTGTTCAATTTATCATCCTCCACCAGACACTTCGCCAGAATGTTAGCCAGACAATAATTAAGTCGCGCAGGTCTTGCTCTCTTTTTTACACATCTCAAGGCCACTTGGTGTGGGGGAGGGTGATGATTGTTGTAGCATTCTTCACCTCACATGTCTCATTTCTGGTTGTTCTGACGCACAATCATATGCGGTCGACTTTCAGAGTTGTAAACTTAGCTGGTCTGGTCTAATACCCTTTAAAAAGTTTAACTATATCAATTTTGGAACCCATTTAACTCATCAAATAAGAATGTGCGTCGAGGAATGTTCTTAAATGAATCTCTAACTTGCCTAACATGTGGTTTTAACGACCATCAAGAGCTGTGGCAATTAGAAGATATGTTAGAGAAGTTCCGTGTATGCATACTTTACTTTTAAACTTAACTATTTGGGACGAGATTGGGTAGGTGTTCGTCATCTTACCTTGTTTACGGTCGTTCTTTCATTTCACTTCCTCTAGAATTAGTTCAATATCTCTGTGTGATCGTTAAAACATGTGAACATCTGTCTGCTGTAGAGTTGAGGACTTTCTGCGCATTTTTGCCACTGAATTACCATTCTAACCATTTATTATTGCTTTAAGTTTAGCTCAAACGAGAGTGACCTCAACACAGAACAGTCCCTAATGTAGGTCGCTTTGCGAAAGCGCGTACATGTCTGAGTCACCAGAATTTCGAAACGAGGTTTAAAGACGCATTCATAGACTTAGAACTAAGAGATTTTCTTGACTACAGTTGGTATTTAATTATACTTATTAAGGTGTTAGATATCTGCTTGCAGTCTCATTAGGTTTGCATGAGAATTTATTTATTTCAAATGGCAGGCGTTGTGATAGTCTTCATTAGCCCTTTAGCTGACTTCGGGCCTCACAGTGGGGAAGAACATCAAAGTGAGAAAGATTCGAAAGGGGGAACCAAAGAGTGATTCACAGATGTTAAAGAGGACAGACGCAAAGATAGAAAAAAGTTGAGGTGAATACTGTGGAAGTAGTCGAATATGGCATGCAGTGGGGTGATGGTAGTTTGAAGTCAGAAGTCAACTGCCGGTTAATAGACTTTTCTGCCGTATGAGTATAGAGTATACGTTGCCCAGGGTGCACCACGTGGAAGTAAGTCTATCGCTCATCTCTGAATGAGAATTTAAAATATTCTGAGTACCCAAAAGTAGCCAAATATTCATTTTTGAGGGCTAAAAGGAAGACTGGTCATTAAAATGGGTGGTGGTGGTGGTGGTGGTGGTGGTGGTGATTATGCTTTTGACCAAAATGTCTTTACGGTAGCATTTAACTATGAATATCAAATCGGCAGTTTATTGGCAGCTATTTGTGGTTTTCAGGGCTATTTATAGCCTAATGCTGCACGAAATTAGTTGCTTCAAGGTGGAAATCTCTGTATTAACTTTGTCCTTTATCCCGTTTTTATTCTACTTAGCTATGGATTAGTGACAATTTCATGTTAAAGCCGATTCCAACTAAATGAAAATTGAATTCAACCATCAGTGTAAATGTTGAAGAAAGTGATATCATAGTCATTCATTTCATATAGCAGTACATGCCAGTCAAAATTCCATCACATACTCCTATTTAGGAGTTTGAATGATAATGTCTAGAATATAATGTAATGATTCCCTTTCTAACTTTTCTAGTGCAAGTTTCGACTCAACTGTGCGCCTTTGGGACGTGACAACAGGGACTTGTCGACAGACACTGCAACGGCACACCGAACCCGTCTACAGTGTTGCCTTCAGTCCGGATGGTCGTTACCTCGCTACCGGTTCCTTTGACCAGTGTGTCCATATTTGGAATGTTGATGTGAGTCAGAGTTCCTCTTGTCCTTATTTATTTATTCCTTTCTCGAATCTAGCTTTTCATCGTTTGTCTGTATTAGTCTTTTTCTATGCGTATAGTTGTTCGTGTGCTGTGCCCATTGCCAAATTGTTCGATTCACTTGCACACAGGCATGTAGTCCAGCCGTCTATCTACTTTGTGCGTCATGCACCATGTTCATATTCACATGTATTAGTCATTTAGCAAGGGCCCTCTCCCTGTTTAGTCTTCTGTGGACATGGAGGAGAGGATGACTACCCAATCAACGGCTTTACTATCATTGCCTAATAGTTGGAACAAAAGCTGCTTTGACTTACCATGTCAGTTCTGTGCCATTTAGCGGATTGTTAAGAAACGTTTCGCCCCCTCACTATTATGCTACCATTAATTTAGTTAGGTCATCAACAGTACAAGTCAGTGCTTATCGATGCATTTCAAGGTGTCATTTTCTTTCAACACAGTACCATAACTCAGAAATATAATTTTTTCTTTGGCTTTTTCCGTCGTCTCTTTTTCATACACAATGACGCTACTTCATTTCTAGGTCGAACTTCAACTCTCACCTTCTCAACGAGCTTGTTATTTTTTTAAATTGTGATGTCAAGGTCCCGTCAAATACTGAGTAGTTTAAGGTGCATTTTGTGCATTCTCACCTTATCGGGCCCTGACTTTTGTTAGTAACCTCTGCAGTTAAGCTAAACTAAATTAACTAGTTATGTTGGCAATATTTTACTTTCGATTCTCGGATATAATCCTTATCATAATTGGTTCTAATCACTTAAAAGTACTATGGTTGACTAAAACGCCTATAATTTAGATTAACATTCATATCTCAAAGGTTTTACTTTCTAGTTCTTCGTTTTGCCAAGACAAGCATTTCATTTTTTTTCTGATTTACGATCACGCTTTCAACAATTTCTTAAATGCCTTATTATTTGCCTATGAGCAGAAGTCTGTGTGCAGCAAGTATTATTAGGAGGATCCAGTTCTTAATAAATTAATTAATTGTTGTTTTGGTCAACAATTTTTCTAGACTCTGCTTATGAGAAGTAGTTCTTTGTTGATAATCTTTTTTGTTTTGATCTGTTATTAACCTAAAAAATAAACTATCATACACTTGAGTGTGAAGTTTGATTCCATTGAGTTTTATCTCATATTAGAAAAAGAGTTTGAGGTCCAAATGGATTAGAACGTATAGACCTGTGTCGTCCCACATTATTGGGGGGGGGGGGGGGGGGTAAATTTCCCCATTTGCGTTGGCATGCTGGTGGTTTTGGAGGTCACTTCTGAATGGATTTATGAACGTGTGTATTCGTGGGGACGTTGCCATTGCTATTCAATCTTTCCTCGAAGTTCTTGTCGGTTTTATAATGTCATAGTACACTTGATTGGAATCTTTGCACCTATTTATAACCAAGTAGCAATCATGAAGTGCATGTTCTCTGTCTTTTCAAACCCAATTCTCCACTATTATCTCTTAAAATGGTCTTCCCTTCGTTTTCGGACTGTGCCTATTCTTATTGATTTTGTGAATTATGCATCGAAATTGAACTGTTGCTTCATGGAGCCATTATTCTGTAGTTTCTTAAATTGTTCCATCGTGAAATTTGTTGATTGTTGAGTTCGGTCTCAATATTGGTTTATACTTCCGCAAATATTATACTCGAGCGACTAATCTTTTGTGTGATAATGTGCTGCAATTTAACTACTTTCTTAGATAACATAGGCAAGTACCATAGAAACTCATTTAAAATATAAACGGCAAATGCAGTGAAATCAAATAAGGCCAGAAAATTTCAATATACTATCCCTATCCCCATCGACTTCTGTGACCAATCTAGACATTCTTCAGGGAAGGTGTGTAGTCACTCAAAATTCGATGCTGAAGATAATCTTGTTCCTATTTGAACTGAGATGGTAGCATTTCACTTGTGTTCTCCGGGCTAATGGAAGGCGACGATTTGGTGATGGGTACCAGACGTCAATAATTTTTTCCACAGATTTATTACTGTTCAAGAAATTACATATTTCCAAATTCTACCATAGAATCCCCCTCTTTAATATAGGGCCGGAAATATTCTACATATCCTGGTTAGATTCTTGTGGTTTCAATGGGAATTACATGGTTAACTACAAGGACATTACAAGACATTACAACTTTGAAACCATCTTTAAAGTGCTTAGATAGTAGCAAGTACACTAATTTCAATTGCACAGAATGAACTGGCATGTCGGGGCGGGGGGGGGGGGGGTAAAGGAACATGACTGGGGCCGGCGTGTCGCTCTTTCTTTGCGCACACGGTGATGCCGTACAACACGCAGACAAATGTTGCAGACAAATTAACTCCAAAAAATCTAGATGTATATGTGCCAAGATTTAGTAGGGATGCTTTACGTTGAATGGTAATTGATACAGACGTGTTAAATCGATTGCTAATGAAACGCGTATCTCTATTTCGTTATCGCTAATAACGCTTTTCCTCCGCTTTTAGACTGGCGAACCGATTAATACCTATCGAGGTACAGGTGGTATCTTCGAAGTCTGTTGGAATTCTCGGGGAGATAAAGTGGGGGCCAGTGCTTCTGATGGTTCTGTAAGTTTTCTCCCCTTCCAACATCTTACTTCTCTGGGACTTTTCCTTTTACTCGTCTATAAGCGAATTTTATTTTGTTTCCAGGTGGTTGTACTCGACCTACGACGGTAGAAACCGAGGGAGATGTGTTTATTCTCGAATCCCGGTAAATCGTTTGATGACCTGACTTGATGTGTGCACCCACCTACTCACCCATCTCTATTTGGTGTCTTTCCATCCATCTTAACTCAGCAGCAGCAGCAGTGTAAAACAGTAACAACAAGCCTCCGACGAAATATCTAACCAATTACAACATCAACCGCTACCTCTTTTCATACTCCTCACCCCTTCCTACCCTTGACTTTTGACCCCCCCGGTGTATGAGAAATATTCGGATGCGTGTGTACGAATGTGTGATGTTGCTTTTCTTATCTCTCTATCTCAGTGTCCCACTTTCTCTTCCATTTGTGTCTCCTTTTGTACATGCTTTTCTCCCCCTCTCCTTTCTCCTTTTATGTGAACTCTCGGTGGCAGTGGCAAGCATGTCTTCAGTGTTACTTTGGTGATAGCAGCAAAATTTCTCTCACTGATGTTTATTTTGTCTCTCCCCCCTTTTTCTCATGCTCGCTTGTTTGTTAGTGAATGAGTGACTGTGCTATTCTGATTCCATGCTACCATTGTGTATAGTAGTCCCGTTCTCTCTTGCCCTTCCCCCCCCCCCCCCCCCCCCCCCCCCTNCCCTCCCCCCCCCCCCCACCCCCGCATATGTTAATTGGCTGCCCTCAGCTTCTCCTCTCCCTGTTGCGACCACCCTCACTCTATACTAATATTACCACTAATAATGTTACTACTACCATTTCCGTTATGTCGACCGCCTCACTATACCCTGTGGGTCAATGTAAAATGTTGCTGCCACCATCAATGCTACACACGCACACACATATATATTTATATATATGAAAGCAGCGTGAAGTAATTCCGCCCTCTTTGTGTATGTATATTAGTTTCTACCACGTATACAGGTAAAACGAAATCTGATCTTGTGTGACTTCTGAATCTTGCTTGACTCTAGACCATGGCGCCTTTGTCGTATGATAAAGTTAAAAGCTTGTGTGATTGGTGCGTACCTCATGACCTCCCGTTTTAGTTGTGCGATAGAGATTATTTCCATGGAATTGGAGGGCTTGGGGTGATTCTAGTACTGATTCCTATTTATTTTTGATAAGAAGAGGAGCTGACTTATTCCGTGGGCAAATGAGCTTGGGGGTATATTTATGTATAGATCTCCTATGAAGTAATCAACAGGGCATGACATTTAAATAGTTCACGGTAAATAATAAACATTTCATGTCATATTACAAGGCCTCATAAAAATGGTCATTTTTTACAATTCATTTGACGAGATGGATATACCCCATATAAAATGCATTTAATAGGAAATAAGTTCTAGGTCGTGTACTAACATAGTTTTTTCCCGAAATGAGTTATTCAAAGTAACTTAAAAATTGCCTTTAATATCACTAGTAAGCCTTAACTAAACCTCAGTAATCTCTAACAAATTCATCTCGTATAGGAATACACCCCCAATTTAACAAGAAGGAAACAGAGCGAATGACCAGGAAGATGTTTAGTGAAACTGTTAGCAAACTACTAAAATTATTGGTCACTAAACGCAATCAATGTTATCATGCATAGCATAAATGCGATTGGTGCTTGGCTGGTTTTTGGAAATTTTGTATGGGGAAAGATTTGATCAAACCCGTACCAGGTATCGATTAAATATACCTGACGAACGGAACTTAAATAATTTTTTCAATACTGTACTCAATTAGATACCACTATAGGCAACACACGCCATCCTAACCCTGAAGGTTAGAAATGACTGACGTATTGATTACGCCTCACACTGCCTGTTCAGTTGTGCGTGCGAATGTACAATTAAATACTCGAGCAGATATCAACCCAATTTAGTGTATATAAACCCAATTTAATGTCTAATCAGTTGAGATGGTTTCAAGGACACATTCGCACTGCTCAGGCAACATAAATTGGCTGGTTTTCTACATTCACTCATGCGAATGCATTAACTTATTTGGTGCGGACCCGGTCTGTTTTAGCTTATTACAGATATCATAACTATCTATTGCATCCCATAAGAAATTGATTTTGTTCTAAAGGCAGTCCGACAAAAAACAACGAAATATCACAAACCAATAATATAAAAAATTCGATGAATGCTATCATGATAATAGGTTGACTTGTATTACCATACTACATTCATAACAGTGATATGACTAAGCTCGTTCGTATAATGTAATTAAATATAGATGGTACAAAAGTGATAAAAATAAAAATGATAAGAAAAATTTATATGGGAATAATATAACAAATCGAAATTTAAAATGGATTTAATTGGAAAACATAAAGGTAATGATAAGAATATTACATACACTATTTAATGACTTAATTTAACTATTTTTACAAATAATATTTTACAATTTAACTTACGAAGTGGTTTTTATCTAATTTCGATAAACGGACGCAAAAGTTAAAAAATATTTACTTCAAAACCCGTAGCATTTATATATTAAAGATTTTGGTTATAAACTGATGGAGGGAATCGAACTTTACCATAAAACTTAAATAAAAATAGGTTCCACTCGATAGTTAAAGATCTAGCATTTTCGCTTGTTCTATTTGGTTCCTTGTTTGGCGCCTGATTTGTTTCTGCCATTCTGAGTTTGATTTTCCATTTTCCTTCAAACTAATATCACTTTGAAAGTATGTATTATAATTTTGTATAAAATTAAGTATTCTACTTAATTAATCTATTTATGTTTTAAGTACTCCGTTGGAAGAAATAAAGTTCATAATGTTTTTGTTTTTTTTAAGATTATGAACAATCGAAAACAGCTATTCTTTCCTCCAAGATGGTTGAAATGTCCACCAGTGGGCGACGTCCTCCTGGATTTATTTATACCATGCAAAACCCCATTGGACGATAAATACACCGATTTAATTACTGACGAGGACGATATTTTTAATCCTGAATGTCTTTTTGAAGCTGTAAAACCGGTATATTTTTATCGATTTTGTGTCGATCAAAATCCCATTTCATACATCTTTATGCGGTTTTCCTAATCATTTTTGCAGTTTCAACTGGGAATGATAGTTGATTTAACCAAATCCACCCGCTTCTATCACCGTAAAGAAATCGAAAATCATGGTTGCAAGTATGTGAAAATTGCTTGCAAGGGAAATGAAGAATGCCCTACTGCAGAACAAGTTCTTCTGTTTAATGGTGTCATCAACCAATTCAAGGAAATGAACAAAGATAATGACAAAAAGATTGCTGTCCACTGTACACATGGTTTCAATCGTACCGGATTTATGATTGTCTCTTATCTCGTCCAAGAGTGTCAATGCAGGTTGGTGTTTGTCATTTTTTCCAGCGTTAAAAATTCCGGCAATTATTTTATCTTTTCGTTTTTGATTCCGAATTTTAGCCTGGAATATGCATTGCAGCTCTTTACAGAGGCTCGAAAACCTGGCATTTACAAAGCTGATTACTTGAAAGAGTTGTACACGAGATTTGACGACCCCGAGGACTGTCCTTTGCCTCCAGAATTGCCTGATTGGTGCAATGGTGAGTCTCACAGTTGTCCAATTTGGGGCTCAATTTTATAATGTATTGCGAAATGTTTTCTGGTTATCATTTAGTAACATATTATTTGTCGCTCTGAATCGTACTACTCATTAATGTTTACATCCAGAGTTTGGGGTGATCGTTTTCATTCTTCCGAAATGCTTTTATGTTTCTAAATTTCTAAATTTTGTCTCCCATATCTCCTGGCAAACATATTCTCTGCAGGAACTCGCACATTAACTTACAAGTCTCCTCTAACATTCATAGTGAACAGAATTGTTGCGCTGATTAGCCCTCATGGAGGGAGGTTAGATTTTTACTACCATTGTTAACTAGAGCGATTGGTCGCTCCGTTTACCAGGTATCGGACTCACGTCTTCAGAAGGATGTTATCTGCTTCTTTTATTAGCTTGCAAATTTACTAATATTGATTTAACCTTTATTCGCCTTAATTGGTAATTAAACAAATAAAAGTTTTATTGAGGTACTCTATTGATCCCATGACGATATTAAATATGAATATTTGTGGTGTCTTTATTGTCCGTTTAGATGCAATTAAATGAAACTGAATGAGTTTCTTCCTCCCCCCCCCCCCACCCCACCCCACCTCCTCACATTTTTCCTCAGTAAGTCTAGGTACTAGTTAGAGAATAATGAAAATTTAATAAATCAGGTTTGTTAATGAATTGTTGAGGTGGTAAATATTCGCTTTCATTTTACTTATGGCTAGTTTAGGAAGTGAATCCTTTTGAATAATGCATGTGATATTATTTATATGATAGGTAGTTTTTAAATACGGATTTTTAGGCTTGACATTTTCCTTATACATTTTTTTGATACCTGCTAGTTTTCCTATATAATTTTCCACAGTTTGTTGATTGCTCCGTGTGCATGTAGGTTCTGTTGCGCATTTTTAATCAGTGGTGTGATTGATTCTAAGGAATTCGTTTTTTTACACTTTATTTTTCGAGTTCTTGTTGATGGCAAAAATGTCATATCTGTACTGATTTAACGGTGATTTATCTTGGTAGTTATAAATATGTTAACTTGTATGAGATTTAAGTTACCCTTTTTAAATCGTACCCAACTCCATTGTCAATTGAGATAAATGAATAATGGCTTGCTGCCTACTTATCTGATAATTCCAGTAGTGGCTGGAATGTAGAGAATTTTTGTCAGTACTGATGACGGCAGTGAGTTTCATTAAGAGACAACGAACAAGTATGCTTTGATAACAGACTGTATTGGCTTTTACTAAAACAGGCATTTTATTCATTCCTACCTTTCAGACTCTTATAGGTCATTTTGAAATGAAACGAATAGATTTTTTGAGGAAGTTTTTTATAAATCTTTTGTGCCCTATTCACACACACTTTTCTCGTTTTAAGAGGAGGAAAATGGAGGCGACGCTTTAGTACCTCGAAAACGAAGACATCCAGATAGTCCAGTCGACGATGACGTTGGTGCTGATGAGGAAAACGGAGAAAGCTGTCTCTCAAAGATCGCTCGATTTCCCTTTACCCCTCCCGGCCAGCCCAAACTCATGGAAGGAGTGACAGGCGTCGAAACACTCGACCAATCCTCTCTTGAGGCACATAAAGTGCGTACCGTTGTTGATTACCTCATTCGTTTTGGGGGCGTTCTCCCTCATCGAGATGAAGTTCCTACGACAAGCTCCGACTCTACTCCTCTCAAACAGCCTTTTGAATCTCTCGATCCTCCAGTCTCAAGTCTTTCTAGTGATATCCTTCACGATCCCCTAGATCTTGACCTCAATCTTGACCCAACCATACGATTTAGAGGTAGTCAACCGATCTCCATGACCCGGCAAAATGTTGCTCTCATTGCTGACAATCCCTATTTGGCTTCATACAAATCGGATGGCACTCGATATCTCATGCTTATCCATGGGCCTGGAAGAGTCTTCTTAATCGATAGAGGTAACTTTGTCTACAAAGTGGGGTGTCTGGAATTCCCCTCATATTTTTGGTTGAGCGGGGCACAAGAGGAGATTGCCAAGGGATCCAGACCTCCGGATTTCAATACAGCGACAGATGGACATCTTGTCAACACCCTAGTTGATGGTGAATTGGTCAAATTTGACAATACTCCCGATAGACCCTTCAAATTTCTCATCTTTGATGCGATTGTAATTCTGGGTCATCCGATTGGTCGGGCACCTTTTGAAAAGCGATGGGAGTGGATTGAAAAGTACGTGGTATTTCCTCGCAATAGGGCGGGTCATAAGAATCTCGTGAATTTCGGCAAGCAGACCTTCTCGGTGCGAAGGAAACCTTTCTTCCCGATCAATAAAGTTGTTGATGTAAGTCTTAATAAAATTGTCCAAATAAAAGCTTGGGTAGATGATAGGGGTTCGATCCACTAGGTTTGGGTTTTCACCATTTGCTACTCAGTTCATTTTGATGAATGAAGGGAACTAACTTTTTGCTGTTTTCAGCTATTCTTTTTGTTCAATCTTCCTTAAGGTGATGATTCACACTTTTGAAGGCGGAATCGGCCACAACTCAACAGTACCTATTTGTCTTAATGTTAAGCTTTTTCTCAAAATTATTATTTGCAGTGACCCCGAAATTTAGCACATTCTAAAAAGTGTACACATTTTTTTAAACTAATTAACAATGAATTGGTAAGTTGGTTTTTCTTGGATTAAATTAGGTCATTTTTGTACTACCCAGGTTTTCCGAAAATCCCTCCAGGGCGAATATAAACGGAAAATTCCATTTCATGAGACTATTTTGTAATCAAATAACCGCCCACCCGAATTAGCGCGCGCTCATTGTGCATTCGGAATGACTCATCCCGTATGGGGAGAGAGTCACGCTTCAGTCTCAAATAGAGAAAAGCTGTGAGACTAAATCTTAACTTTTAATCCCAGATAACCGCCCATCCGAGTAAGCACCCACGCGGGCGGACTTTCGGAAAACCCCGGTATACTATGCAGTGGGGAGATTCATTAAGAATTTCTGTCCCATATTCGGTCCTCACCTTATCCTTCTTGTTGCTTAAGTACATTTCTCTTTCACTTGCTCTCTCTTGCCATTGATACCATAACACCTGTGTTCTAAGATCTGCAGGCTAAATAAACTCACAGGTAATAATGGTGGCTAAAACTCCTTCCCCCTCCCTATCTTTCAGCTGATTAAATTAACTCGGCGCGAATTGGAACACGAGACTGATGGATTGATATTTCAACCTTGTGGTCTACACGACTACTACGTTCTCGGTACTTGCAAGAAGACTTTGAAGTGGAAGCCACCAGAGCTGAATACAATTGACTTTCTATGCCGCATTCGATACCACACTGCTATTGGGTGCGTTTTTGAATCATTGTGATTTGTTAATTTTGGCATAATTAATGTTTACCAAGAGCATAGCGCCAGCACACTCGTCTGCCAAGTAATTTGTATCAGGATTGTGAAAGGCAACAAACATGGACGCAAAGAGTTCAAAGTCGCTTATATTTCCGTTAGATGCAATCGAAAGTGCGGATTTCGACTCTTATGTCCTGTCTAGTAGCAACTTCCACAACTCAGAGATTGAAATCAAAGAACTGACCTTTTGAACCGCTAAAACTTGCCCTGTACTCTCTATAGGGGTTGGGTCCAATTCTATTACGACTGATAATTTAAATGGTAGTCATTCTAGGGCTGTGAGTTACCTTTTTTGAGAATGTGGGGAATGACGGAAGAAGCGTGTTTACCGAGGGTAAGCGCATGGAAGGGGTTGATAGTGAGCAGCAAATAGGCAAAGACGTGCTGTTAGTATATCTCACTCCCAAGTCAAGTTCTTTGCTTATATGTAATCGAGCGATTAAAGTATTTCTAAGGTTAGGCTTCTTGAGGTATTATTGGCCCAATTCACTGTCTTATCTTTCATTTCAGAGAGGTGAGTCATCATGTAGGCGATCTCTTTCTGGGAGGGGACTACAAAGTTCCTGCTGCAAAGTTGTCCAGAGTGACTTCAAAGGAGATGGCTTACGATGGTAAGATAGTGGAATGCGCTGTGGATACCACTGCTCCTGGAGGCGGCTGGAAGGTGCTTCGAGTGAGGACGGACAAAACGGAGCCCAATCACCAATCTGTGGGGCTTAGTAAGTCATTTTTCACAAGTTGTGCATAGTAAACCCCCTTGTGCGTGGTATTAACGCTAGGAAGTCACGTTCTGCGCATCTCCACCACATATTGCTAGAATACAGTCGACTCAGTCCCCGAAAGAGATGTGATGGAAGCATGATTGTTTCAAGATGCTTCATTAACCCAACAAAGATTCTAGTCATTTTTCTCTTGCTCACTCCTGTTTACTCTTGTTTCAGGAATTATGGATAGTATCAAATACCCCGTTAATGCACCTGATGTTTTGCGCTACGTAAACGCTCGACTTCTCTACCTTCAACAACGTAGGAGAGAGGAGGAAGAGAGATCAAGGCGAATGGCTGAGAGGAATTCTTCTACTGCCTCATAATCTCTTGCATACCGACAAGATCACTAATATGATTTTTCTTTCGTTACTCCTTGTCACCCCTTCCTCTCTCCCCCTTCATTCTTCTCTGCATTTTGTCTCCATTGTGTATATATCAATAATATATATATGTTATGAAATTTATTTTGCTTCCCGAGCCCTTGAATTTCATACTTAGGGTAACGGGACTTTACCTCTGTTTCAAACGTATTGCATTTCTGCCACCATTATTGTCCACGGTACTGGCGGGTGTTGTTTGAATAGAGTGGCATTCAGGGTGGTTAAGAAGAATGAAATAACGAGTTCGGAGCATCACAGGTCCCACTGTCCTTGAAATCGGGAGCGTGTTCACACATTTGACTGTCAGGTAGCTGAGTGATGTTATCTTGACGTCTTATTTTGCAGTTTGGAGCAAACAGATGGAATGCCTAAAATTTCCTAATCGTTTATTGGTTTGGTCACCCCTAGGAATGTGAAGTTATAGAATAGGTAAGATTTCCTTTAAAACAACTTATCAATTTGACTTACTTACTTTACCATTAAATTTATTTATTTATTTCAAATGGCAGGCATTTTGATAGTTATCATTAGCCCTTTACTTAACTTCGGGCTTCACAGAAGGGAGGAACATTAAAGTGAGAAAAATTCGACAGGGGGAAAGAAGAGCGAGTCACAGATGTAAAAGAGACAGACGGGGACAAAGGCAGAGAAAAGGCTAGATGAGTACTATGGAAGTAGTGGAATATGACATACAGTGGGGTCATGGCAGTTTGAAGTCAGAAGTCAGCTGCCGGTTAATAGACTTTTTTGCCGTATGAGTATACGTTGCCCAGGGTGCACCACGTGGA